TTAGGGTGAATCAACAGGTAGTTGGAAAGTAGGCAATATGCTACTAAAGCATGCTGAATTTTGTTTTCTCATCCGTGTGGGGAGCTGAACTGTCATAAAAACACATGATGATGTCTGGAAATGCCATAGTTTTTCTAACCCTAACCCTAGCCTCAGTTTGCTAACCATAATTTGGGGCCTTAGGGTGAATCAACAGGTTGTTGGAAAGTAGGCAATATGCTATTTAGTCTATGTGCAAACCGTAGACTTCTGTTAACATGAGAAACACGAGTCTGAGGATTATACGGCGATCACGTAAACGCATAAACTAAGAGGTATAACAGAATAATAACAGTACAGACAACTTTTAAACGGCACAAACTATTAAGATCGGTTCGGAGGGAAATGGGGGGCTAACTTAAAAGCGGAGTCACGTGACTGTGTAAATAAGCAATATCTCTGCATGGAAGCAGCACAAAGGATAGTTTTAACGGCATAAACGATTGCGATCGGTTTGGTCGAAATCAGACGCAAATGGGCGGGGGCGCATCCTTATAAACATTAATATCTCGGAAACTAAAGCAGCACAAAGGACAGTTTTAACGGCATAAACGATTGCGATCGGTTTGGTCGAAATCAGACGGAAATGGGAGGGGGGCGCATCCTTACAAACATTAATATCTTGGAAACTAAAGCAGCACAAAGGACAGTTTTTACGGCACAAACCAGCACAAACGCAGCACACACGATTGCGATCGGTTTGGTGGAAATCAGACGCAAAAGGGGGGCCAACTTCACGCTGTTGACGTCACCATGTAAACAAACATTTATATCTCAGAAACTAAAACATCACAAACAAAAATTTTCACGGCACAATCCAGCACAAACGCGGCGCCACATACGATTGAGACCAGTTTGGTTCAAATCTGAAACATATGGGTGGCCAACTTAACGCAGGTACTGAAAGTAACTGAAATAAAATAAAAGCAAACATCAAATACATCCAGTTACTATTTTCTACCACTAATTTACTAACATAATTATTTGACTACCTTTCATGACCATGAATAATGGCTGGAACATAAACTGAAACTTTATACAAACTAAACAGAAATATATCTTTAGGGTAAAAACTAATAAGACCACATTGAAAATGAACTAAAACTAAATTGGATTTCAAGTGAAAATTGAAAATATTACAAAAATAAAAAGTTAAATGAAAAATCAAAACTATAATTACAGGGTGCAGCCTTGTGAAAGACTGTCAAACAAAGAAATTTAACATTTTAAAAGCTGAATTAACGTTAAATGGTTAAAAACTGTGCCGTGAACCCAGACAGGTCTTTGCTACAGACATGTTCAGTCAGTGGAAGTTCCCTCATATGAGATCAGACAGGAAGTGATGATTCATATTTGACTAAAGGCCTCAGGTCAGGCCTGCTAGCTCAGGGACTGCAGTCCTTTAGGTAAACCGAAAACCGGAGTGTCAGATAGCATGAGTTACGGCTGTTTTTGGGTGTGCGGTCAGACCCTGCCAGACGTAAACATCCTGCAGCTTTTATCTGCATATTGGGACTTGTCTCTCAACCACAGGCCGCGTTTTCCTCATACATTTTTTACATTTTTCTTACAAGTCCGACTACAGCGCTGAATGTGACTACTCCGATACCTCCTCACCTCTCAGCAGAGCTGTCCGGCTCGATGAAGCGGATGAGGGGGGGTGCCGAGAGCGTCTCTGTGGCAAAGATGCCCCCCTGCAGCTGGACACCAAAGCCGTTGAGTGGGTCACCCTGGAGGGTGATCTCACTGGTCTCCGTGTGCACAATCTGCCCACCTGGGCCCACAGTGCTAGAGGCTAAGGAAACTGAGGCCAAGGAACATAAGAGGAACAGGAGAAAAGGAACATGATGCTTTAATTGTTATTTACACAAGTACAGGTACATTGGAAGGCTTCATCAAGGGCAGACATGTGACATGTGACTGCTTTGCCAAGGCTGGCAAACCGGCAACCTTCCGATCAAAGGCACAGATGTCTAACTGAAATGGAAGCCATGAAGTGAGATGAGGTGGAGTACAAGGAGAGAGATAGACCTGGATCATTCCTGATGAACCAGTTCCGTATGTCACGCTAGCCAACGGTTATTGGCGTTATAATTAGGACTGGCAAGTCAACAACTTGCTGTAACAGGTTAGGAAACAACGGCTAATACGAAGTGAAACAACAGAGCCCACAAAACTTGATCTCAATGTCTTCAAAAACATGGTGCCCTAAATCTGAGAAATAGCACTTTTAATGCCGCCCGTGAACATATGCTACACGCTAATGTGGCACGACTGAACACGATGCTCTAATTATGACAGAGCAGCGACAATGGCTTCAATAAATGCTCCACGCAGCAGACATTAACTGCAATATAATGAACATTCTCACCATCGTCATTAACAGTGATATTCCAATCAATCCAGCTTGAACGTTATTATGAAGAGAAGACTATTTACCAAAATAGTATAAGAATGGCGATATGGGGGTAATACTTCCTTATTTCTTTACGAAACAAAGAGGCACAACCCAAAACATTCTATGTGAAACAATTAAGTTTCCCAAGACTTAAGAAAGCTATCTTGTGTATTCAAGCATAGAATAAAGTGAATGTTACTGCAACCTTTGAATATAAATTAGTGAATGAGCTTGATGCCATCACCAAATGCCAGAAGCATGATTCAGCAGAGATCTAAACAAATTCTGCAGTATGTACAAGGTTATCTGAAATGAATAATAGCATTAATGATGGACGAGCTCTTCAACGTGGAACCACTGTGATGCGTAAGTCAAACCTCACTCAGTCCTGTGGTTCAGAGGAAAGCCGGAATGATATCCAAAGCTCCTGTGTGCTGGTGGATTACTGTAATCCAGCCAATTCCTTACTATCCAGCTCATACTTAGCAGATGTTTTCATTCTTTTCCATGTATTGCCCAAAGACTAGAAGGCAAGTCACCATACCCCAGATATGTCGTGAGTCAGGCACCTGATTGGTTGGTCACACTTTTAGTTGATAGGACCCATCTTCTCTACAATCTGATTGGTTATCTCTCAGAACCCTGAGAACATTTTTGTGTAAGTAAAACTCCCATGAGCCAAATCCAAACTAGCAAGATAGATACACGACTGACTACAGTTCACCTGGGGATCCTTGGATGGTGCATAAGCCCAGTGAAATCAAATTTCTTTGATCACATTTGTGGACAAGGACCCCCCCCCAAAGCAAGCCCCCTCTTTCCTGCTGTCTCTGTCACAGCTAGACGTGCCTTTTTAGCTTTGGCATGACTGGCCTGCCCTCCAGGCCCTCAATATGTACGCAGTGGACCCTCTCAAGTCACCTTTACCTCTTATTCATGTGTTGGGTGATGGGTGACTGTAGATGATCTAACCTGGCAGTTAAAGTCAGGAAGTCAACATGGCATCATGCTAGAGTTGCCTCACATACGCGAGCTCTTGTGTTCCTTCTTCCTCTGCCTCCTCTTCAGCATGGAGTTGCGCGGGCTCATGGGTGGGGCCGCACGCGGCAGGGTGCTGGAGTTCTGGCTGGCGAAGCCCGACGTGGTGGTGGAGCCAGGGGAGAAGCCACTGGAAACAAGCGCTGTGGGCCATACAACATCACTCAACAGTGGCTAAGCTAAAACATTAGCATATTAATACCAAGGGGCATATACAGCGACAGGACCACAGGGGCAAAGCTGATTGGACCCCGGAAAGCCCCCTCCCCTGTCACTCACTGATTCAAAACATATCATTGGCCCCCTCCCCTGTCACTCACTGATTCAAAACATATCATTGGCTAATGCTAATGTTGGCCCCTTTGTATGAATTATGGCCCCTTTTATGGCCCTCCACCCCACCATGTAGAATTCTAAAACCTAGAATTGCCCCAGACAATTGTCAATATGACACAGAAATAGGTAAAAAGTCATATAAACTGTAATTTTTCAATTTTTTTCATTCTGTACTCTAATACTGTGCTTTAAATAACCAACACTAGGCAGACTCCAACCTCAGCCAACCCAGAAACGAGTCTATCAACTACGGCAACAGTATGATTAGAAAGACACATTAGCTCCGCTTGGATGGGCTTGTTTAAAGCCCAAAGGAGCCCACTGACATTTGCAGTAGTCTTGACTGGCCGGGTTGCTCGATGACGGCCACGTGGGGGTTTTGCAGTGTCCAGGGTGCTGCATGTGGCAGTAATTTACACAGGGATCCCAGCAGTGGGCGTTATCGCTCTTCTGTATTTTCACTACAGAAAAAAGAACAATCACGCTGGTTAATAAAACACAGTACTGTGGAAAGGTGTTAAACAGTCAAAGAAATTATCTTTAAATGATCTTCATGTAAAACTATGTTTTTATGTCTGTCAAAGCGTGTCAGCTTAACCATCCCAAAACCTCACCAGAAGTCACCCAAGTTTGCAGTGACCAACCAGTACACCCAGGTATTTGTTGACTGGACCACAAGTCATCAGGTTAAGTAATTAAATTAACCAGGGGTGACGTGAACATGTCCCACCCCCTCCCGGGAAAAAAGAAGGAACCCCGTAGCATTAAGCAGGAGGTCCGTCTGTTAAGGAGCAGCATTATCGGATGCGAGCTGCACCGCGTCGCATGCACTGTTAGCGTTGCGGTTTGCTCTGGCGCTTACTGCAGCCCATCCTCCTCATTGTCGCGTCTGAATGATAATGCACCGCCCTGATACCTAGGACCCAAAGCGAAACGTGCCTCTGAATTAATGCGCCGGCTCATTATCGCCTGACTAATGAAGTCTTCCGTGCTGCAGGCGCGCCTCTAACGGCACACAGAGGGACTGGGGGGGAGGGGGGGGGGGTGCAGATGCTCTGCCCAAGGGCCCCATCAGAAAATAACGATTCCGGTCCGCCGCCTCTGCCTGCCGAGACATGTTAGCTACTGCTTCGCCAAACACTGCTTTTGTTCTCCGTGGGGGAGCAGGTTAGCTCCTGGTGAAGGACACAGGCTCCAAACCTGAAGACCGTGCACTTAGTGATGGAGTGCGGGGCCGGCGGCAGCCTTCGGTAACATACCCAGCGGTATGTTTTACGCCGCCTGGGATTTAAAGTCGCTCAGAGGTCTCACTTAACACAGAGGCCTCACAGCTTCAGGGTCGAGTTGAAGTTGTTCATTCCTTCCCGAAGGTTTAGTGTGGGTCAAGGTTTTCCGATTTCCTTATAGTCCAAGAACATGCAGAAAAGTGAAATGTGTTCCTTAATTGACCCATAGGATGTGAGTGTGTGCCCTGTGATGGACCGCCGTCCCATCCAGAAAGTCACCAGCCAGCGTTTCTGGGCCGGTGCGTAGATTAGCAGGCTAAGCATCTATTCCTGTGATCGGAAGGTTACTGGTTCGGGCCCCAGCCTTGGCAGCCTAATCACATGTCTGTGGGCCCTTGAACGAGCCCATTAACCCCCAACTCCAATGGTGCTATACACTCAGTGACTCTGTGCTGTAATTCCCAAGCTTGCTCTCATCTCTATGTGTCTCATGGAGTAGATGAAAAAAGAATTTCCCCATAGGGATCAATAAAGTATCACTATTCTATTCTAGGAGTCCCTCGTGACCCGACCATGCACGAATGATTACAAGATATGAAACAACAGCTAAATAAGCGTAAATGTTGTGACAAAGACCTGAATTAATTTAACATTCCGCACCACCTCATCGATTCATAGGTACATAAGTAAAATATGTTTCTCTCAGGTTTATCACGCTAAATGCCTGCAGCAGCCCAGGCCATGATACGCAAACATCAGCTGTTTTATGATAGGCTGACAGATCGCTTTGCTTTCAGAATCGCTAATAGAGGCTTTATTCCAAACGACACAACTCTTAATTAGAATTTATCAGAGGAATAAATGTTTGGCATAAATTTTGAAATTCCAAACCAACTTGGAGGAAGTGAGTAAGATGTTTGAAAATTTTGTTTGGGGGGGGGGGGGGGGGGGGTTATAACATTAACATCAAGGCCTCCCACTTTTTAAATCTGTGATTTAATGCCTAAACATTGCTAAGCAGCCTTAGCTAAGTCCAGGAAGATCCCTGCTGGCTGGATACATTTCAGCTTCTTTGCAAGACAGAAAGCGCTAAAAAAAATAATCACAAGGGACTTCAGAAATGTCCGGAAACCAGGTTAACTGCTCAAATCACCGCAGACAAAAAAAAAAAAAAGAAATGACAAGACTGAGAATTCAGAGAAACAGTACACCGGCACCCTTTCCAAGTTTAAAACTGCAAATCCTTGCATCTCGCAGCTTACGCTAAGCTCATCTCAAGTGACTCTCAAAAAAAAAAAAAAAAAACATTCTTATCTTCGTCGAGAGGTAAGAAAGTTGAAAACTGATGACACTGGACTGTGCTATGAGAACTGATGCGACAGCCTGAAACGCGAATCCCTTAAGGAGATTAGAAGTGACATCAAACATTTAAAAGGCATTAATCATACATGACAGCGATGGTGTGTGTAGTTTATGATCGTTTGGCTAATTGATGGAAGATTCATTGTCTAACAACATATGCATTCTATTTGCCGCTTAGGTGGCAAAAACGTAAATACTATGAAGCTTTTAGTCTAGCTGAACTTTTCATGCTATAATTCTGGAACAGAAGCCTACAGGCATTTGCACAAATCTTTCCTTAATACTTGCATTAAGATTACTTCCTACACTTCTGTCTTTGATCCTGTTTTGTTCTCTAGTTCTCTTGTATACAAGTCTGTTCCACAACCTACAGACCCCCAAAGCCCAAAAAAGCCCCACGAAATACCCGGTCAGCTTGAGCCCACACATTCCGGGTGCCGCTGGAAGCCCCAAAACTGACACGGACGATATTCGCCCACAATCCCCGGCGGCCTTTATTACAGGAAATAACTTTTACAGAGAAGGGATCATCTTAAAGCCTTAAAATCTGCTTCTGCATTAAATTATCTACACTTTACAACAGTACTGGCCTACTAATCCACAAGCATAGAACGTGAAATGTCACAAGATCAATATTATCATACCAAAGGCCAGAATGACACCAAGGACATTACGCATGTGGGGAAAGACTTTTTAAGGAAAAGGAAAGACTACTTTAAACTCAGCCTGACATGTTTCATGATCTCATGGAGCACAGCTCTGTGGTGATTTGCATCTCCTTACCTTTAATCTTGCCTAAGATGCTCACTTCCACAGCTGTATCCTTCAAATCCCTTGGAATGTGGATTTGAATTTTTCTACTAAATTATAAATAAGAGTTTAAATTTGGGGAAGGGCCTAAACTCCTGGAATTGAGAATAATAGTGGAATTATAACACTGTTTGAAAAAGTTTCCTTGACCCAAACTGTAATTTTGTGATATTTGTGAGTAGTGTAACCAAACACAGTGACACCTCATAACAAAGGCACAGTTGTGATATTATGCAGTTCATAGTCCATCCATCCATTCATCCATCCATCCATTTTCTGTAACCAGTTGTCCTATTCAGGATTACAGGGGGTCCAGAGCCTAACCCAGAGGCTACAGGCGCAACACAGGGAACAATCCAGGATGGGGCACCGACCCATCACAAGGCACACTCACACACCATTCACTCACACACCATCCACTCACACACCATTCACTCACACACCATCCACTCACACACCATTCACACTCACACCGTCCACTCACGCACCATTCACTCACACACCATTCACTCACGCACCATTCACTCACGCACCATCCACTCACGCACCATTCACTCACGCACCATCCACTCACACACCATTCACACTCACACCGTCCACTCACGCACCATTCACTCACGCACCATTCACTCACGCACCATTCACACTCACACCGTCCACTCACGCACCATTCACTCACGCACCATTCACTCACGCACCATTCACACTCACACCGTCCACTCACGCACCATTCACTCACGC